TTTTTTAATTTGGTCCCCCTACGTCTTACTGTATTTTATCGCTATCATTATTATTATTATTCCGTCATATTTTTTTGTTACTATTAAACTTTACCTTTTTTTTTCTTTTTTCTTTTTTAATTTTATTTTTATCTATCATATTTTTCTTTCCTCTTTGACTTATTTCTGTCTATTTATTTCTTTTTCACTTATTAATTTTTTTTTCTTTTGACTTGTTATTATTATTACTATTTTTGTTTGTGATTCATTTAATATTTGTTTATTGTTTTTTATCTAACATTTTCGATTTTTCTTTTAGAAGAATTTCAACCGATCAAAGGTAAGTAATTCGAATCGGATTTCTAAATTTCAATTTAAATTTTCTAATTTTCGTAATTAAAGACAATCGGCAAATTAATTGGTACCGAAAGGGCGGTTCAAGGGTGCTAATCCTTCCTTGACCGTAACCGACTCCCGAACCCGATTCACTTCTGGTAAAACGCAGATCAGGTAAGATGGTGTCCGACCTACCTAAATTCGTTTTAAAATGGTCGGTGGCGACTCTAACCCAATTCATTCAAGTCGAAGCCCAATTCCGGGGCCCCACTCGAAAGACGGTTGCGACAGTAAGGGTATAGATAACAATATATTAAAAGGTAACTAGTTAGTTTTTAAACTAAATTTCTTTTTTTTTTTTTGAAGTTGTGTGGTCAGTGTGGGTACCTAAAACAAGAATTATTTATGTTAATTAAATATTTCAATTTTTAATTTTTTATAATAGAAAAATTAATTTGTATAAGTGAACCACAATTAAATCATTCGAATTAAAAAATATCTCAGTATTGTGATACATGTTAATCATTCGGACTAAGATACTTCACGAATATTTTCTTCTTAATACTAACTACACTAATTGAATTGATTATTTTTAGAATCATCATTGAATAGATCTTGGCGAGATGAATATGTAACCCAACGATATTTATTATATTTTGTATTGCAATAGTATCAATAATGACATGTTTAAGTCGTGTTCCATAACTTTTAGGGATAGTACAACATTTACGTTCATCGGTATCTTCAAAATTTATCTAAAGATATTCACTTATTCCAAAACGTGAGGGTATAGATAACAATATATTGAAAGGTAACTAGTAAGTTTTTAAACTAAATTTCATTTTTTGAAGTTGTGTGGTCTGTGGGTACCTAAAACAAGAATTATTTATGTTAATTAAAATTTTCAATTTTTAATTTTTTTATAATAGAAAAATTAATTTATACAACTGAACCACAGTTAAAAAATTTGAAATAAAATTAAATTTAAAAAATAAACATCAAAATAATAATAAAATATAGGCTTATATCACAAATAAGTACCTAAAACATACTCTATTTTTTCATTTAAGTACCTAAAATATTTTTTGGTCAAAATAAATACCTAAAATTATATTTCTAGCCAAAATAAATACCTAAAGTATTTTATGTCAAAATAGGTACCTAAACTATTCAAACTTTTTTATCTAAGTCCTAAAAAGTTGACATGTGGCATTAATTAAAGAGTACTTTTTGTACTTGGATGAAAAAATTAAATATTTTAGATACCTATTTTGATCAAAAAATACTTTAAACTTATTTTGATAAAAAAATACTTTAAATATTTAAATGAAAAAAATGATGTATTTAAATACTTGTTTGTTATCTAAGCCTAAAATATAACTTCATGATAAAAACATTACTCAATCCATTAAAAAAATAAAAATAAAGACTCAGTTAAATAAGATAGCTTTAGTTCATTGAAAATTATGAACGATAACTTGAAGTCAAACAAATTAAAAAGACATTTAAACACACCCAGTGGGACTCGAACCCACAATCGCTTGATTAGAAGTCAAGCGCCTTATCCATTAGGCCATGGGTGCTTGATGCAATTAATAGCTGCGATTACTAGCTGCATTTAGGTTATATGTTAGTTTATATGTTTTTTATAGCAGGACGAAAATGTTATACAGTTGAGAATGAAATGTTAATATGGTTTTTAAAATTAAATTAAATTCAAATCTTTCAAGAGAAACGAACACATTTTATCCTTGAAATTTGAGCCCATTTTTTACTTCAGATTCTCTAAATAATTCAATTTTTTTAATGAAGCTTTAATTCAAACTACAATTAATTTCATAACGGATAAACTGAGCTCTACCAAACCAAAATCCTTACCATTTGGTTGGTTACATGAAAAATTAAACAGAAAAGTAGAAAAAGATATTTCATCTCAACTAAATCACATGATGCATCAAGCTTAGTTCAAAAGAAAAGTACTCAATTGTTCATATAAAACTAATCAATTCAATGGGATTATTTATTAGGGTGTGTTTAATTCACGAGATATAATTTTATCTCAGAGAATAGAATTCTCGAAATGTGACATTGTTTGTTACATCACTGAAAATGTTACATAATCTTATTCGATTTATTTGGAGGGTAAGATTGTAATATTTAGTACGAGAAATATAAAACTATTTCATCAAATTGTCGTTGTGATATATTTTTTTTAACAAATTAGACTTTTCAATATATTTTTTTATTGAATAGAAGTCGTTAGTATTATTAAAAAGGTGAAAATATATGAAATTACAATAAGGATTTACAACTATCATCGTAAATTAAATACTTAATTTGGACTTTTCCTATAATATTGAAACTAACTACTTTAGATCATATAAGGACCATACATGGAAAAGGTTAAAAACCCAACCAAGAGACTTGAACAAAAATAGATACGAATACATCTGATTGCATCGACAAACAAACCTCAAAAGGGAATTAAGTTATTGAAAGACCATCGAGAACTGCAGATCAAAGCCAAGCGTCGTGAGAAACTATCCACAAACGCAAAATCACGCATCCAAATGTCCATAGCAAGGAAGATAAAAAAGATTTCAAATAAGCATCATCTTGATCAGTCGTGACGTCTTCAAATTCAACCCTAAGAAAACATATATAAAAGAACGGACAAACGACCGAGAAAATAAATCAAAAAACGTGCCACAAAGGCAAAGATAAATGTGCAACACAAGGATAGATAAACTTTATCTCTGCAACACAGATAGAGATAAACATGCAACATAGACAAAATTATTCTTATTAAAAAAACAAAAAGAAAAAAAGAACTAGCGATCGTCAACCAACATCAAAGCCGATGTCACCATCGATTAAATAAAATCAAAAAAAGAAAAAGTTGATCTGATTTATGAAAAAGATACAAACTCAAAGAAAAAAGAAGACAAAAGAGAGATCGAACTTTCAATATTAAATTAAAAATATTTACATGAAAATCATAAAACCATTTTTGTAACACTATAAAAAATGTTTAAAATTTTATATTTAAAATATTATTGATATTAAACAATATTTAAAAAATAAAGTTACATGATTGAATATCTTGTATTTACATTATCATATTATATAGGGTTAATTATATGTTTTAATATCACTTTTGTTTCGTTTTGGTTACCAAATTATTTTTTCAAAATTATATCTAATATTAAATTTTTATTCTATTTTAGTCATACAACATTAAAAGATTATCATATTATATAGGATAATTATATGTTTTGTATCCTAACTATCACATCTGTTTCGTTTTGGTTACAAAATTATTTTTTAAAGTTATATCTAATATTAAATTTTTGTTCTATTTTAGTTAAACACCATTAAAATATTAACAATGATAATCACTGCAGTAAAACAAAGTTTTAGCGGCATATTTTTAGTCCTATAGCGGCGTTTTTAAGCGCCGCTAAAAGCACTTGCGGCGATAGAAAAAACGCTGCAATAAGCGCCGGCCATACCAGCGTCGCTAAAGTTAGCAGCGTTTGAGAACAAAAAATGTCGCAATAGGTCAAGATCTATAGCGGCATTTTTGGAACAAACGCCGCAAAAGGTTGATATCTATAGCAACGTTTTTGGAACAAACGTCGCAAAAGGTTGATATCTATAGCGGCGTTTTTGGAACAAACACCGCAAAATATTGATATCTATAGCAGCATTTTTGGAACAAACGTCGCAAAAGATCGAGATCTATAGCGGCGTTTTGGAACAAACGCCATAAAAGATCGAGACCTATAGCAGTGTTTTTGGAACAATCACCGCAAAAGATCAAGATCTATAGCGGCATTTTTGGAACAAACGCCTCAAAAGATAAGATCTATTGTGGCGTTTTTGGAACAAACGTTGCAAAAGGTCAGATCTATAGCGGCGTTTTTGGATACAAACGCCACTAATTATCTTTCAGCTAAGATGATTTTGCATATTTCATTTCTGCTATATATATCACCTAAATTTAATATCATCTAGCTTTATCTAATTAACAACCATACATTTTAATAAAGACACAAGTTATGCACAAAAATACTAAACAACAAAATAAATTAAAATTTATAAATATTAAAAATAAATGTATTGTAGTTTGACATTGTTCTTCATTACAATAATCCAATAAGACATTTTTAATAAATGGGTAATGGTATTTACCCAATGGCTTTCTCTAGAATAGGTTCATCCTCGTCAATCATGTGATATGTCTTTGTCAAGACAAAATTCTTGAAATAAGGGTTGGTATGGAAGTAGAACTCAAGCTTAAATCCTTTAGGTTCCTCTACCCTAAACCACTTAATATATTTGAGAAATTTTAGAGCTCCCTCATCACGCTTTGTAATCTGATTCCGAACACAAAATGCAAAAATAACCTCATTAACAAGACTTCATTGTTCTTCATTGCAATAAGCCAAAAATCAGGAACCCCTTTCTCTGCATAAAGCATAATTTCTTAAATACAATCCACATGGAAAGAAAAGACTGTTATGGAGGGGGGGAAAAGAGGGGAGGGGCAATGAATAAGATCAAACCTCCATGGTTGCTTCAGTTTTTGTTCCTTTGACTTCAGCAACACCATACAGTTTTTATTCCTAGCTTGCCATATTCCTCAAGTGATGTAGAAGGAAAAATTTCACCCGCCCTACCATTTTCTTTGTTGGTTGTGTTTTTTGATGAACTTATAGAGCTACTTTGATTCATCTGTAGCACGTAAAGGTCAGCATCAAGGCATTTGACAGAGTAAAGTACTGGAAAACAACAAAATGTGAGAAAATGGATTGCTTAGGTAATTCATTCTCCCAAAGAGAAAGTATGCATTTTAGCACCTATCAACTACCAAGTTCATTGACAATGATGATTGAAGATACTAATTTCTTTCCATCCATTTGTTTTATTTTTACTATTACTATTATTATTATTTTTTTATTATTATTATTATTAATATTATTATTATTATTTATTTTATTATTAATAAATTTTATTATTACAAAACAGGCCCAAATACATTACAAGCCCAACCCGGAAACATAAGGCTTAGCTAAACCCTAAAACCATATTAGGGTTTCTATCTCAATACCCTAGCCGCCTCAGCATCACAGCCGTTGGATCTGAGAGATCCAACGGTCCGCAGGCCATCCAGCATGATACAACTAGGGTTTTTAAACCCTAGCTTCTGCACTACCACGCCCCAACCACCGCCTTCAAGAGCTTCCAGAATGGCCACGCGGTGCCATTTCTGCCAGGTTCCACCTCCAGCTGCCTTGCCGACGCTGCTTCCACGCCTCAAGCCTCCCCGAGCTTTCCAAAGGATCTAGCTGCCCCACACGTCGCAACTAGTAGGGTGAGTCACCACATAGCTCGGTGACTCACCAAATAGCCACCCTTTACCCGGTCCAAAGCCATCACCGGTGATGGTTATAAAGAAACCATCAAACCTAAAAAAAAGGGAGATTAACGAGCAATACAGCAACCACCAAATCCACAAAACAAAAAGAAAGAAAAAGGAAAGAAGAAGAAGAGGAGCTTACCTCACCGGAGAACCCCAAACATCACCAAAAAACTAAAAATACGAAGGTATTTTCTTAGATCTAGGAAATTATAGGGATTTTTAGGGGAAATAGATGTCGGATTTGACCTTAAAATAAATGGATCTATATCCTAGGGAATTTTGGAAATTTTCGACCACCGTTGACGGTGGCCGACGATGGTGACCGGTGCTGGAACACGGCTTCCTGCCGGGAATTGCCTCCCTCCGGTGGATGGTTTAGAGAGAAGAGAAAAAAAAATTCTCTCTGTTAGAGAGAAAAGAAGAAAGGAAGAAATGAGAAGGGTGGCCCTTGGGGCCGGCTTAAATGGGTATAAATACCCTCATCCGACGCCGTTTTAGTGAGGGTATCTGTGTAATTTCACATATGGGTAAACCCCATCCACAGTCCATCAATTTTATAACTTTATATTTTAGACACTAAATCAAATTTTAGATTCTTTTAATTCGATTTTCGAATTTTACATATATGTATTTTAGTCCTTAATCGTAATTTTATATATTTTCGGATAAATATTATAATTAATTCCTTGTAATTTTGTTAATCATGAACAACATGTTTTAATTTCTTTCAATTTGATGTTCGAAATTTATATAATTTTATTTAGTCCCTAAATAAAAAATAGGAAAAATTACATTTTTAGTCATTGAAATATTAAATAATTATTTACTAATTAGATATTTAATTTTAACATGTTATGATTTAGTCACTACTTTTAATATTTTCATTTATTACTGATTACAAGTTTTTTTATATAGTTTTAATTAAATTTATTCATTACTAATTTATAGTTTAATATGTTTTATTATTAGAATTTAATCATAAATATATATAATTTTAACAAATAATATATTTTACATGTTTATTTTAATATATTATTATATTTAAATACATATATATAGTTTTATTAAATAATATTGATTTATTTTATTAAAATACTATTTAATATATTATTTTTAAATCATTTTAATCATGTTTTCATATTTATTTTTCAATATTAAGAAAGGACAGTCTTAAAGCAACTGGATGTCTATTTTCTGATATTTTAAATAAATATTTTTAAATTATATATATTTTAATTATTTTTAGATAAATGTTTTATTAATATTTATTTATTTTTTAATATTAAGAAAGGAGTTGTCTTAAAGCACCTAGAAGCCATTTTCTGATATTTCTAAATAAATAAATATCTTATTTAAATTAATATATTTTCATAAAATTATAAATTTGAAAAAACAATATTATAAATTAAATATATCTTTGAATTTTTAAATTTCTGATAATAGAGACAATTTATAATTAATAAAGGAGAAAATAACCTCAGTGACCAAAAATGCCTTATAATATACGATTTTAACCAACTTTTTTTTGGATTTGCCAAAATGACCAACTAAATCGCAATGCGATCGATAATTCGCAACGCGATCTCCGGTATCGCAAATCAGTTTCCAGATTCGCAACGCGAACTTCGACTATCGCATTGTGATTTACATATTCGCATTGCGATAGTCCAAGTTCGCATTGCGATAGTCGAAGTTCGCGTTGCGATTTTCCAAATTCGACTATCGCAATGCGAACTTCGACTATCGCATTGCGATAGTCCAAGTTTGCATTGCGATAGTCGAAGTTCGCGTTGCGATTTTCCAAATTCGACTATCGCAACACGAACTTCGACTATCGCATTGCGATTTACATATTCGCATTGCGATAGTTCAAGTTCGCCGATAGTCCAAGTTCATGTTGCGATAGTCAAAGTTCGCGTTGCGATTTTCCAAATTCGTTGCGATAGTCGAAGTTCGCGTTGCGATTTATTCCAAATTCGTTCCGATAGTCGAAGTTCGCGTTGCGATTTATTCCAAATTTGTTGCGATAGTGCAAAATCGCAACGACTGGTGGTATTGCATTTGTTTCTTAAGAATTTTCTCTAAAAAGATAGTATTCGTGCGGACGTGTCGAAGACACGTATTACCACGACCATGACCACGACCCGAGACGAGACGAGACGGACGGCGGCGGTGGCGGCGCGCGAGAGTCCCTCTTGTTCTCTATCACTCAACAAGGAAGTGGGAAAGCCAAACCTTAAATACCATTCCTAATAGTGTTTCCAATACTATGTGGGATTGAGCATTACCAACACTTGTTTCCAATACAATGTGATTATTCAGGAAACAATTAACAATCATGCACCTTAAAACAACTGAATCAGCAACCAATTGCATTAGTATTATACGATTAAATATGTCATAATTAAAAGTCAATCTACAATCAATCGCGATTATTGCAATTTTAAGCAAAACATTCAAAAATAATATCACTATTTAAGGCTCAATCCCACATAGTATTAGGAACAAGTGTTGGTAATGCTCAATCCCACGTAGTATTGGAAACACTATTGGGAATGGTATTTAAGGCTTGGCTTTCCCACTTCCTTGTTGAGTGATAGAGAACAAGGGGGACTCTCGCCCGCTGCCGCAGCCGCCGTCCCGTCTCGTCTCATCTCGTGGTCGTGGTAATACGTGTCTTCGACACGTCCGCGCGAATACTATCTTTTTAGAGAAAATTCTTAAGAAACAAATGCAATACCGTCGTTGCGATTTTGGGCTATCGCAACGAATTTGGAATAAATCGCAACGTGAACTTCGACTACCGCAACGAATTTGGAATAAATCGCAACGCGAACTTCGACTATCGTAACTAACTTGAAAAAAATCTGTTGAGTTAATCGATTGACGGAATTGGCCAAGAGGGGGATGAATTGGCAATTAAAAATTTGGTAGAAGCTTTTGCAGAAAATTGAAAGTAATTGCACAGCGATTTAGAGTGGTTCGACTTTCTCAATCAAAGTCTACGTCCACTACCTTAGCTATCCACACTAAGGATTTTCCAACAAATTCACTAATTTGTTCTTTCTTTTGAGGCCAAAGAGATAACCTTACAACACCCTCAAGAATATACCCCAATTCTTGAGAACACTCTTTCCCAAAGAGAAGATTACAAATTTGCAAACTTACAAGGAAAACCTCACAAGGTAAGATGTTTGCACAATTCTAGAACAAGAAAAGAACACTCACAAATAATTACAAATGAGCACAAATGGTGTTCTTTGAAAGCAAGATGAATATTGAAAGGAAAATTGGATTGATTTGCACAAACTTGGTGTTTGATGCTTTCTCTCTTGTTTCTCTATAATTTCTTGTTGATCAAGGGCTTCAGAACTTGTTTAAATACACCTTGAATCACTTATGAACGTTGGGGATGATTAGTGAAGATCATATAGCCGTTTTAGTGTGAAAACAATTAATAAAACAACTTGGAGCGTGGGGGAATCGGTTCCCCCTCATAGGGAATCGGTTCCCTAAGTGTAAAATTCAAATATTTCGACCGTTGAACAGGGGGGAATCGGTACCCCCTATGGGGGAATCGGTTCCCTCCAAGCATTCTGAAAATCTCGGAGCCAAACCATTCAGGGGGGAATCGGTACCCCCTTGGGGGGGAATCGGTTCCCTCTGAGCAATCTGGAATTTTTGGCTTTGAAATGGTTCGAAATACTTTGAAAGATTATTTTGAAATTGTTTTAAGATTAAAAACTTAATTTTACACTTAAGTAAGGATTAAAAATGATTTTTGAAATATTTGGAGTAATGTTTTGATATTCGAATAATTATATCGAATATACTTAGAAAATCATTTGGAAAATCTTAAAATTCATTTAACTTAATTTGTTATATCGAAATATCAAAATGTTTTCAACAAAATCACAACGCGAACTTGGACTATCGCAACGAATTTGGAATAAATCGCAACGAATTTGGAATAAATCGCAACGCAAACTTCGACTATCGCAACGAACTTGGAATAAATCGCAACGAATTTGGAATAAATCGCAGCGCGAACTTCGACTATCGCAACGCGAACTTCGACTATCGCAATGCGAACTTCGACTATCGCAATGCGAATATGTAAATCGCAATGCGATAGTCGAAGTTCGCGTTGCGAATCTGGAAACTGATTTACGATACCGGAGATCGCGTTGCGAATTATCGATCGCATTGCGATTTAGTTGGTCATTTTGGCAAATCCAAAAAAAGTTGGTTAAAATCGTATATTATAAGGCATTTTTGGTCACTGAGGTTATTTTCTCTTAATAAAGTACCAATTTTAGGGGTTATAGGGGTGCTAATCCTTCCCTAAACGTAATCGACCACGAATACTTTTTTTTTACTAAAATTTTTGGTTATAAGCAGATCAGTTTTATCTTTTAAATTATGTTTTATTCAAAACTATTTTAAAAGATTATTTTTTATGTATTTGACCTACCTAACCCAAAAAAGATCAATGGCGACTCCCAAAATATTATTTTATAAAAATTATTTATTTATTCATTTTAAATTTTCCCCGCCAAGTAGTAAAAGTAAAAATTCGTACCCGGGCGAAAACCGGTTACGACAATGATATATCAAGAATTCAAGTATATATGTCCTGCTCAGTTAAGAAGCACTTTAGACAATACGAGTACAAAAACAACGTTAAATTTTTAAGGTCTCTAGCATAATTCACATATTATAGCATGTGAAACTTGCCAATGCAGAGTTATAATGATATATCTAAGAAAGTTTGCATGCCTTGTCAAACTAAAAAAGATTGAATTGCTTATCCAAGAATGATATATCTTTTTTATGTGGTAGGTCATAGTCAATAGCAGTTTTTGGTCTAAGGTTCTAATACCCTCGCGCCATTGGGTCTTGCAAAAAAGAACTATAACGTCTCAACCAAGGGAAATTCAAATAAATAAAACCTTATATAACTTATAAACATTTATTTAGTATTTCCTTCACGAGTTACATCAAGGTAAACCCCTTCTATGCTTCTGCTATATTAGAAGTTTGGATCCACTAAAACTTTACTATAAATCATAAAAGTTATGATTAATTGGATAGAACTCCTAATTATTAGCAGAATCATGAACCATCTCAATTACTATCGTCAAACAGTTGTGAATTATTTCCAATAGCAGGAGACTGAAATCAGTATCAGAATCGTAATTGGAGACTTACAGCACGTAACAATGTTCTTCTATCCCTCTCTCGAGCATTTTTAATTGCCTGAAACAATATTCACACAAATTAATCAACGAAACTAACATAAGAAAAACACATCGAAAAGATTGCTCCAAACCAACCTCTTCAAGCATCTTTTGCTCTTCTTCAACCTCTGCAGAATCCCTGTAAGAGAAACGCAGTCAGAAGTTCAATGTTAAATCTTTTGCGCAAATATATGTATCGGAAACTAGAAAAAAAAAATCTCAAGTGATTCAAGGACAAACCTCCCAACTATTCGATCGACACTTAGCACACATTTTTTGTTCCTTAGCACATCCTATAACAAAATATCCAAACCCAGCTGATTAATTTTCACAAAATAACTACATTTCACATACATTTCGCTCAATTTGACGAGAAACTGTTGAATCAAAACAATCAAAGAACTAATAGCAGAGGAAACGAACCAGAACAAAGATTATGATAGGCTTGACGCACATTACTTTTGGAGCAAAGCTGACTGGAAAAATAAAAAATCATATATATAAATCCACAGAAACCATTATTTTTCTTTAAAAAAACTTGCCATTTTGCAGGCTCCGTTAAGGGTTTATATTTGCCATAACGACGCTTCCAATCGATTTGTTCTTTGCATTGAGGGCAAACTCCAGTTATTTCAGAGTAATGCCTTAACTTCCCTCCAACTTCCTATTGAAAATAAATAAATTTTTAAAAAATATATATGAGTAAAATGAAAAAGAAAAATATCAGTAATTAATTACCTTCTCGTTGATTTTAACACCGGCTTTTTATTTCAAGGCGTAGCGATTTTGGTGCTTCGGTGGCCCTCGAGGACTGCTCATCTTTTGCTTGCAGGCTGCCGACTCAATCACTCTTCTCTGGCTAACGTTTGGAATTTGTTAATAAAACCTAGACCATTTTTGTTGGGATTGTCTCAGGAAAGACGGACTAATATACGATTAATATACGGCGTTACCGGATACATTATAATATATTTAATAAATTCGGTTTAGCACTACCGAAAATATTGAGTAATAATAATGTAGTAGGATTAAATCATGAAGAATTATTAAAAAATTTGACAACCGGCAAACTTAGCTTGTCGGTTTGTGTCGATACAAATAAAAAACGTATCGCTCCATAGCAATATTACAGGTAAAAATATGACAAAATCGGTAAAACGATACCGGATATGTTGAAAGTGTCGATAATTTAATATAAGTATCAACACTTTTGGAATTTAAAAGAGAATAAGTTATAGCGCCTATAAAGTGTCGATACTTTAAAAAAATGTATCGATCCATAACAATATAACAGGTAAAAATATGACAAAACATGTCTAAAAAATGACAAAACCGGTAAAAAATACCGGATATGTTGAAAGTATCGATAATTTAATATAAGTATCGAAATTTTTTTGGAATTTAAAAGAGAAGTTATAGCTCCTATAAAGTGTCGATACTTTAAAAAAATGTATCGATCTATAACAATATAACAGGTAAAAATATGATAAAATCGATCCCAAAATGACAAATCCGGTAAAGCGCTACCGAATATGTTGAAAGTGTCGATAATTTAATATAAGTATCGACACTTTCTAAATTTAAAAGAGAAGAAGTTATAGCGCCTAAAAAGTGTCGATACTTTATGAAAATTTATCGATCCGTAACAATATAACAGCTAAAAAAAATGATAAAATCGGTCTCAAAATGACAAAACCGATAAAGAACTACCGGATATGTTGAAAGTGTCGATACTTTAATATAAGTATCGAAACTTTTGGAATTTAAAAGAGAAGAAGTTATAGCGCCTATAAAGTGTCGATACTTTAAAAATATGTATCGATCTATTACAATATAACAGGTAAAAATATGACAAAATTGGTCTCAAAATGACAAAACCGGTAAAGCACTATTGAATATGTTGAAAGTGTCGATACTTGAATAAGTATGCGTAATAAATTATCGATACTTTCAAAGAAATATGTAAATATCCTATCGAAAGTATCGACACTTGACAGTAAAGTATCGACATTTAGGTAGTTGTATCGATTAAATATAAATAACATATCCGGTGTAAATATAAAGGCATAGCTAAATTTCCTCTGAAAATAGATAGAGTTTTTGAAATCGAAGCGTAATTGTTGCTGCATTTCAGAAGGCGTTTTTACGACGAAGTTTTGTTTGTTTGTTGTTGCAGTCGAATCGAAAGGTACGTTGTTGAAACCCTAATTTTTTATTATTACAGTAATCGGAAATAGGGTTTTTATGTGTTGTTATTTGGGGTTTTCGAAGTAAAGAAGCATTTGTGACCGAATACATGTAGAAAGTGATATTCTAGGTAGATGATAAATATCGATACTTTTATTTAATATTATAGGTAAAAAATGATATTATAGGTAAACAATGATATTACATGTAGAAAGTGATATTCTAGGTAGAAAATAAATATGGATACATGTATATAATATAATATTATAGGTAGAAAATGATATTTTAGGTTGTATAAATATGCCGACACTTGTTGTAGTGGGCATTCAAATTCTTTTGAAGACCAACCGTTTTACCACAAGAGTGGTTATTGATTTTTGTATATTGAAAGCAGTATTTGATTTGATTTACGTAAACTGATATATGAAGGAAAAATGAAGTCAATGGTGGAAAGCAACCAAAGGATAAATATATGTACTTCTAGTAAGTATCAATGTATTTTTGTTATTATTGTTGAAATGGTAATTGGATTAAATTATTTATGAACTTTAAATTGATTACAAATTTTAAATGTTGATAGTATGGCCGAATGCAAAAGGACGAAGGAAGATGGCACACACAGCGATTCGATATGTAAAATGAAATTGACATTGAGTATCGTTTAGCGTTAATGTATTGATTAAGAAACGTTTATGCTTAATATTAGGTGACAAAAGATGTGAGGTCGAAATGGAATTCGATGAGTGATGCTGAAAAGGAACCTTACATCACACAATCAAGGAATGATAGTAAAGAATACAAAGAACAGAGGAAAGCACATGAAAAGAAGGTATTCATGAAACTTGTAAATACGTTGATACAAGATATATAAGAACAATAACATTATATATTGTTAAAAAAATGTAGGAAGTGTCGACAATGTGCAGCATAAAAAGGGTGAATTTATTAATTGAACACCTTAAAGGGTGAATTTATTAATTGAACACCTTAAAGAGAAGGATCAGTTAAAGAGAAGTCTGTAGGAGTAAGAACTGGAAAGCACTTGCCTCCAAATATGGTTTGAATCAGAAGGTGACATATGCTGAAGTTGAAGAGGATATCAAAAGTGGATCTTACGGGGGGATGACGTGAAGGCCCGAAGTCTATTGTACCTTGTTGGGATATTTATTTGTCCAACGGGTGATACGTCAACAAACAAGGACAATATGAAGCTCATTTGTGATGAAGGCTTGAAGGGTGAATTCAATTGGGCTGAATATGTCCATTCGAGATTGCCAGAGATACCTCAAAGAGTGCATAGCAATCTTAGAGGTAACTAAGTTGAAGAATGTTTTTGTTTTCTTTATATAAAATGATAGTATAGTTATTATATAAAATGATAACTTTTATTATAAATGCATGGTGAACTGTTCGATTTTTGGTCGGGCTGTAATAGTTTGCCGGCTTATGAAAGAAATGAAGTGGCACGCATCTGTGCATGGGGGAAGGAAGAGGTGGTTAGAGTGATGGCGAAGTTTAAGTTGGATAGACCGAGTAAGCTAGAAATAGTAATAAATGTAATTAAATAATATTAAGAATATAATCAATGTCTTAATACAAATTTAATTTTGAAGGTTATTGTCAAGGAGGCAGAGGAGGTAGAGGAGGCAGTGGAGTCAGTGGAGAAGGAAAAAGAGATGGTTGGAGGGGTGGATGACGGTCAGGGGGATTACGATGAGGGAAAATAGAGTAAATTTGACATTCTGATGTATGGATTGGCTGATATTAAAAAAATCATTTTTGATATTCATCAAAGACAATCAAGAGTCGAAGAGACACTTGAGAGGCATAAGGGGGAAGTGGAAGGAAAGATAGATGTAGTGGTGAATGAAGTTGAGGTGTTAAGGGAACTTAATCTGTTGACGGGTAGAAAAATTGATGTAGTTGTCAAGGAGGTTGGGGAATTGAGGAGTGAACTTACGGGGGTGAATGAGGTGGTTGAGAAAAACTTGGATGAAGGGGGAAAATGAAGGGTGAAATAAAATAGATGAAGAGCTATGTAGAGCAAAAATATGATGAACTGAAAAAATTTGAAGGAGAGAAGATGGAGGAAGTACAAAAGATGGAGGAAATGGGGAGAAATGATGTCACTAACATCTATACACCAGAGAGTGTTATAGATGCAGATTTGGATTCGGAATGTCCTGCATCCCAGAAGAAGAGCAGAAGGTAAGTTGAATAAAAGAAAACTTAATTTGATTTTTATCATGTTGTTGTGACAAATATTTGTATGCAAAACTATAGGTTGAAAAAGTTGTTATTCCAAGCGGAATTGAACCGGTCGAAGCTGTAATTTGTGATTATTTATGGAATAGTGGGTTAGAATCGGGGTAAGTTAAATATATTGCTTTGTGAGTGATATTTAAATATTTCATGACAATATATTAATCCTAATGATTCATACAGATATTCTGTAATCTCAATGGGAAATCAATACGCTAGTGTATCCGACATTGCAACGTTGAAGCCTAGTGAATGAGTTGGTGGTGTGGTAAGTAGAAATCGATTAAAAGTTAAAACCTATTGAATATATTCTGATTGTGTAATTAATTTTGTTAGGTTATTGATTTGCTCGCCTGGACAGTATGCTACGATTCTAAAAAGTCAGGACGGATGATTGGCTATATTTCATACCACTTAGCGGTGAGTTAAATTAATAAATGTTGAAAAGTAATGTTATAGACGATAAATTAATAATGATTGTCACGTAATTACAACAACATGCATTGGACAACATCTATAATGTTGAGGGTATTACGAGTTTTTGGGGTCCCATGTTGCATAACTATGTGAAATTCACCAACTGTGAGAAGGTAAGACACCATACAAATAGTCATAAATGATGTTTTTGGATATATAATGTTGAATTTTGGCAAATTGGGTGTGAAATTTGTTGCAGATCATGATCACAATAAACCACAATAATTCACATTGGTATCTGTTGGTGTTGGATATGGTAGACCGTGTTGCAATTGTATATGATAATCTGTTTACATCTGAAGCAGCTAAATAGAGAGTGAATGATGCTAAGAGATT